TTAGAAACATATCAGTTTATCTCACATTTCCGTTGCCTATCTCAACATTTCTTCGTATTGTGTTTTGTTTGGTGATCAATGACTCAAGTACGATTTGTATAACACAAAAATGCAATTTAATATTTAGAAATCACTATAATTGACCATTCCTATGTTATTCATTGAGTAGATTGGTACTGTAATAATCTACTAATAGCAGTAATATCATGGATACACTAGATGTACAACAACATCTGAAAAAGATTCACCCCAGTCTAGAAAATAATGTTTATGCAGCTAATAGACTGCCTATGTATACCCACGTACCAACGTATATAATATGCAATTTGGATACAGATGATAAACCAGGGTCACATTGGGTAGCTTTATATATCGATACGAATGACGTCGGTCAATATTTTGATTCATATGGACGATCACCTGTACGATATCATCTAGAGTTTTTAAAAAGGAATTGTAAAAGATGGAACTGGAATGTTGATAGGATTCAGAATGAGTGGACTTCAGTTTGTGGCGAATATTGCTTAATGTATTTGCTATATAAGTTTCAAGGATGTTCAATACATAGTTTTACGAGTATATTTACAAGGAACACATTGTACAACGATATTTTAGTGGATGAGATGTTTCGCTCCTATTTTATAGATAATAAGTAATAAGATTTTGTATTTTATAAATAAAAATTGTAACAAAATTATGTAATGTGTTTTATTGATGATTCAGATTAGCGTTGTATAATTAGGAACAAAGAAGTATAATACAATAGCACTGATATAGGCGACGCACACGCTGCAATGAAGGTGATTAATGAACAATAGAACAATAGAAATAGGAACAATGGGACGCTAATGACGGTGGAGGCCCTTACCGGATATCAATTAGATATTAGCTAATTGATCTACACATCTCCGGAACCGTGCATTCTACACAAAAATGGACCGCGGATTCGTGATCAGAGCATGCCAAAACCTTTTTTTTTTTTTTTTTTTTGTGTCGACGAACGTCGTTGAACCACGTCTGACTCAGGTGGTCTAGCTGGCTATAACTTCATAAAACTTAGTATTCAGACAAAATAATAACAATAGAAGCTATAATCGCTCGCTAAAATCACAAATAAAAGTAATAGGGAAAGACCGGATGGACAAAAAAAAAAAATCCAAAAAAATCTTGTTTTATAAAATGCCGCGCAGCACGCATTTTACTTCGTGGAGCGAAGGTCGAGAACTTGGGGTCGGAGCAGAATGAAATGGCGTTTTGTACCTAAATGGTCAGATTCGTGATCAGAGCATGCCATAACTTTTTTTATATTTTTTTTTAGGATCCGTCGATCCACCGTCAGCTGATTAGGGCTGAGGATGGTGAGTTGTACCAGTTCTGACTCAGTGCTGGTCAGAACTGGTAAAAACTATATAATTACTTATTCTTTCTTTAATACGTGTTTTAAATGTGTCCTTTTGGTTGTTGGTTTTGTAAAAGAAATGTTTCTAAAAGGGACTAGGTACATAATTTAGTACAGCGTCAGAAGTGCTAACAACACTGTATATACCGGAATTTAATCCATCAACAGCAGCAGCGTTAGAAGATTCTGGAATCGCTTCAAGCATACCGTCAGGAGTTGTTATGTCTAATTGATGTAGAGTGGTATCAAATATACCGTCAGCAACGTTAATTGCTGGTAATCATTGGTATCGGCATTAGCAGTTCGTCACCAACAGTAATAGGCATCGCAGTTTCTGATGACTCCTTGTAGTTTTTGTTTGAAGCGTCAGTAGTCTAATGGCAGGGCGCAGACCGCGAACTCGAAAGGTCGTGGGTTCGAATCCGCCATTTGACTACTGTCGTGAACCATTTCTAACACGAGCATTTTAAGCTTACCAGAAGTGGTTAAAGGGAATATTAGTAATGTTTAATAGCATTAGGTTGCGTTAGGATAAAGTGCCACTAACACGATTCCCCTTTCTTCACAAAACTAACTAGTAAAAGAGAATAACCGGTAATGCTATTTTATTCTTAATCAACCAACGATAAAATATATCGGCAACATATTCAAAAAATGCTTCACATGTCGTCTAACCTGAGTCGGTTTTTCCAATACCCCAGTCTGAAGGAAAGTTGTCAGCAATTTCTTGAGGTATCCGCTTATAGCTGAACACTACCGTGGTAGGAGCTAGGGAACCGTCTGCATTTCCTGTTACCAACACAATTAAACATTCCTTGTCGTCGGCATTTACCTGCTGGTACACATTTTTCTCACCTCTGTTTCCAAGCACTTTAGGTCCTTTTGGTGCCAAAAAAAGGCTGTCTCATCGCAATTAAAAATTCGCGACGGTTACCCTACCCTAATAGTACAGCACCTGTTACCCCGGCTCTGGACGCCGTCAAATTTTGTGATATCCTCGTAGAAATGGTTGGGTTTCTCCGAATAAATGCTTTTGGCCATGTTCTACCTGGTCTTCCATTTTTAAATAAGCCACATGGACGTTTTATATCCTTCAAGTATTTTTCAACACTTACGATTAACTGTTCAGTTATCACCGGGAAACCCGCTTTTGCTGTATTTTGCACCCAGTCGCATATTTTTTTCTCTTCTTCTGGTGTAAGAATTGACGCTGGGCTCATCTTTCGTTCCATTGGTGACTTCCCTTTTACTTTATTTGCAAGCGTTATTCTTGGTACACCAAACTTTTTTGCAGCCGTTCTTATGGGTGTCTTATGAAGACGAAAATCGTTTAATGTTGAGAGCATTGCAGCTTGAGTATAATTTAGGAATGCGCCCTTTTTCCCAGGCATCTACAATGTCAAAAATTGGTTTTAGTATTATATTTTACAATAAAGGTGGTCAACTACTGAATAAAAGTAACTTAGAGTAAAAGCAAATAAAATAGTTGAATTCTAATTAATGCTGCCCTTCATATATTACTTTGTACAGTATATTTACATGACAGACAATTTCATCAGTAGTTGACCATCCCGGTCAATTACTAGAAAATCATGGTAAATTTGAGTCAGTAGTGGACCACCCCACACGTTGACTTTGTAAATAATTTTTTGTATTTTAAATACCATGTTATAACTTAATAAACGCTAAACAAATAAGAAAATCAAAACATTTACCATCAACAAGGTTATTAAGTTGCTAATATTTAACTTCAAAATTTTGTAATCCTTAAGACAATGTTTACGAAAAAACGAATAATGGTTTTACGCTGCGTCACTCCACAAAACAACTGCCGGCCATTTTGAGTATTAGATGGCTAAATTACTAAATGGCGGATGCGCAGTTCGCACGATTCGATGATCAGATGGCAGCACTGACTATTTAATATGAAATTAGTTTAAAAACATTCCGCGAATTCTTATTTTATCGGTTTATGTGAGTTAGTGGTCAACTACAGGTACACGGTCAATTACTAGTGCGGTTACCTTATATGGTGAATGCATTAACACTTCCCAACCAAGCTCTCTCAAATTTTGCTGAGTGGCCAAATATGTGTGTGGATGTGGTGTCTTTTTACTGGAAACAATGCATTCCATCTTAGTCATCACGGGTGACAACGCATCTGCATTTTGATCCTTAATCTATGAATCTGGAATATCAAATTAAACTACAAGGACAGAAAATAAAACTCCTTTAGTCATTCTTCGTGAAATCCTCAAACTTGCACACCGGAGTCGATTTTTTTTTAAATAATCGCAGATTAGTGTAATTTAACAATTGTACAAGTTTTACTAATACAACACCGCTAAAATGAAAATCGAATGTAATTTAAATGATTTATCATATTGTAATATCGCTTTTACTACTACACGTTTATAAATTAAAAGTTTTACATAGTCAAAATCGTGTTTATTATAAAAAACAAAACAATACAGTCAAAATAATAGACAATCTTATTACTAAAATAAATGCACATGGTATGAAATTGAAATTGTTAACTGCTAACATCCACTCGCACAATTGTAAAATATCAAAAAATCTTAGGCTAAACGTATACGACAGACAGACGGTGTAATAAAAGTCAGGCCTCACAAATAAAATAATTGAAACAAGTATGGCTTACTTTCGCCGGCCCGATCCGAACTTAGTCAGTGTTATGTCGGAGAAAGGAACACCTATCAAATAACGATTATTAGCAATCAAATATGTAAATATCTGTCAGTTATCAGTACTAGGTCAGTGTCACAGGACAGTACTTTCCCAAGTCTTAGTTCCAAGCCTATGGTTGTATGCAGTTAAATACAGAATTTTTATATATATTTTAAATATAATATTATTGTATGTAGTTAAATACAGAATACGGCAGGTATTATTATATCAGATGTGACGAGTCTCCGTAAACTCAGACGCTTTGACAGGCAAAAGTCGGCCACTGATAAAATGTCGTCGTCTGGTTTAGACTTACATTTCTTAACAATACGTTATTAAAAATAAAATTAAATTAAAAAGCAATATTGAAAGGATAATTCTTGTGAGTTTCTCCCAATCTGCAACAAAAGAAAATATTTTTTAACAATTATTAAAAAGCTAGCGATCCGTCCCGGCTTCGCACTGGTGATTTCTGGATCTCGACAACAGCGCCACCTACCGGTCTAATTGTGAACATAAACCATCCAGGGACTCACGCATTCACAACATTTTTCATTTAAATCGGTGTTCAAAATGAAAAGCTAGACAAAATAAAATAAAATCTTTAATAAAGATAAAAACGTTAGCGCACACTGTGACACTACTAGCCAACGAATGCCATTTTTCTACTTCCTTTTTAGGTACATAATGTTGCCAGTAACAACTTAAATTATATCTTACAAATCACATTGCCTTTTAAAGGTACAGGTTTACCACAAATTTAGAATTAAATTTTTTATGTTCATGTATTGAACATAGTTAGGGCCAGGCGAGAATTTACAATAATACATTTTGCAACTCATTTTCTGTATTCTAAATATCAGGACAATAATAAAAAAGAGCATGTAAAAGTAAAAATATACCTTAAAAATAATTAATTAATAGGTAGAGGGCACAATTTTGCAATGGACCTTAAATACACTTTATTATTAAACCTTACCTCGGCTACTCTTACATTCTTATCCTTGCCTGGAAACACCTTAACAATACGAGCTAGAGGCCATTCTAAAGGTGGTGTATTTAATTGTTTTACCAGTACAATATCACCTTCCTTTAGGTTAGGTAAATCATATTTCCATTTTGGGCTACTCTGTAACTGAGTTAGGTAATCTTTTGACCATGTTTTCCAGAAGTCTTGTTTCAGTTTTGTTACAACTTTCCAAAATTTTAAACGGTTAAATGAAATTTCAGACACATTGACCTCTGGATAACTGCAAATGGCTGTCCCAATAAGAAAATGCCCAGGTGTTAAATATTCACCTTCATTTGGATTAAATGAAAGCAGAGGTCTAGAGTTTAAAACACCTTCTATTTGTATCATAACAGTATTAAATTCTTCATAGGTCAAGCACATGGTGCCTATTACTCTTTTAAGATGGTATTTGACACTCTTTACCCCTGCTTCCCAAAGTCCACCAAACTCTGGAGAGTAACTGGGAATAAACACAAACTTAATATAATTTGTTTTACAATAATTATAAACAGCATCTCTATGAGATTTAGAATTTTGTAACTCATACAATTCTTTGAGTTGATTTTCAGCCCCCTTAAATGTCTTTGCATTATCGCAAAAGACTTTAGTTGGCATGCCTCGCCTTGATATGAAGCGATTGAAACATGCCAAGAAAGTTTCAGTAGAAAGATCTGATACTGTCTCAATGTGGATAGCCTTGGTTACAAAACAGACATATAGAGCAACATATCCTTTAGTTACAAGTGGTTTTCGAATCCTGGCTACCTTCATGCTAAAAGGGCCACAAAAATCAATACCAACATGCTGAAAGGGTCTAGTAGCATTAATTCTTTCTGCCGGCAAGGAGCCCATAAGTTGCTTCGCAGCCTCAGCCTTTAATCGAATACATTTTAAGCATTTGTGCAATACTTTTTTAATCTCTCTAATGCCACTGATAATCCAGTATTTCTGTGAGAGTGAACTATGCACTAACCTAGGGCCGGCATGCAATAATCGAAGGTGTTCCCTCTCAATAATCAAAGATGTTACCTTGGAATTCTTTGGCAATATAATAGGATGCATTTTATCGCGCGGAATGCCTGCATTCTGAAGCCTACCGCCCACACGAAGAATATCGTTTGCATCAATAAAGGGGTGCAAATTAGCAATACCTGACTTTATTTTTAAATTGTTCTTAATTGCATATATGTCATCAGCAAAATGATGTTTTTGTACAGAACGAATAATGACCAGAAGAGCGTTTTCTAGTTCTGTAGGAGTAAGAAAAGTGTCTTTAATTATTTGTTTCCGTTTTAAAGCATTAAGATAAAATCTATAAATATATGCAATAATATTTTGAAGTTTATTAAAACTTGAGTACCTTTCAAGCAATTCATATTGTGAAGTCTGTACTTGCCTTTGAAATAAGCAAGGAACTTCCTTTTCTTCTTGATTCAATGTATCAACATTGCTATAAGAATTAAAAGTACAATCAGAGGCCATTAGAGCTATTTACAATCTAAAACCGAGAGAGTCTCTTAGAGATAAATTCAAAGAAATTAATATATTAACTTTGGCCTCTCAGTATATTTACGAAAATTTAATGTATGTTCACAAAAACAAAGATAGTTTTAGTAAAAGAAGTGATATACATTCTGTAAACACTAGGAACAAACACAAGCTAGTGATACCAGTTTCTCGACTCCACAGAGTCAGTAATTCATTCTTGGGGCAATGTATACGCTATTACAACAAGGTCCCGGAAAGTGTACAGGTTCTCTCTATTACCAAGTTTAAATGTTTTATTAAGCTGAAACTGTATAAAAAGGGTTATTATAGTATAAATGAATACATGGTTGATAATAACCCCTGGGAATGAGGTGATCGCTTCCAAGCAGTTTCTAAAATAAATTTTGTAAATAGTTCGTAATCATTTCTATTGTAAAATTTATTTAAAAAAAAAAGTCCCGCTGGGTTTCTTGCTGGTTCTTCCCAGGACAGAGGGTTTTTTCGAACCAGTGGTAAAGTAAAAAATGACTTTCAATAAGAATTACACATGTAATGTATATTGAATAAAAAAATATTCTATTCTATTCTATTCTATTCTATTCTATTCTATTCTATTCTATTCTAGAACTGTGGCTGTAATCTGCTTCTGACAAATACTCAGGCCCATGCCACCATAGAGTTTTTCCTTGTAAATTTTGTGGGTCTATGCCCCTCGAAATTAGGTCAGCAGGATTATCCAATGATTTTACATAGGACCATGATGACCTGTCAGTAAGTTCAACAATTTGCTTAATTCTATTATTAACAAAGGTATTAGCCTTTATTTTTCCAGACTGTATCCAGGCTAATACTATCTGGGAGTCACTGTATAAGTGAAGTGAATGTGCTAAACGGGATGTAATTATTTTACTAACCCTATTTGCTAGCTGTGCTAGCAACAATGCACTATTTAGCTCTAGCTGAGGTATGGTAAGTATTTTTGCCAAAGGTGCAACCCGTGATTTAGAACACACCAAGTTAACTTCAATATTCCCATTAGTTTTTAAAACTCGCAAATACAGGCAGCACTCATATGCTTTTGATGATGCATCGGCATAACCCACTAACTGAACAGATGCACCATCATGACTATTGAAATATCTGGGTACTATAATTTTATTCATTGACTTTAATTTGCTGTAAAAAATTTCCCATCGTAGTAAGTGCATAGGAGGCAACATTGTGTCCCACTCAATGCATATGGATAGATAGATAGATAGATAATTCTTTATTGTACACCAAATCAATACATAAACGAAAGAAAAAGAAAAAAAAAATAGTGACACAATGGGCGGTCTTATCGCTAAAAGCGATTTCTTCCAGACAACCTTTGGATGGACAGGATTACAAAAAGCAGAAAATTGTGTGGTTTGGTGATGCAGAGACAATATTTATAAAGATTTAATTATAATATATAGAAATAAATAACAAATAAAGACATAAAATACGAATGCATACATATATAGATGGCTGAATTCAAAGGTTAAGATAGTGGTTGTGTACAAGCTTCTGAAAAACAGATAAAGATTGGGCGCGTCTCACTGACAGAGGTAGGGCATTCCATAGACGGACTGCTTGGATAGTAAACGACCTGTCCAAAAATTTGGTATTATGGGCAGGCATTTTTAATGTAAAATTTTCTGATGATCTCAAAACCTTCGAATGGGAATAGTGAAGGAATTCAAAGCGATCCTTAAGATAAGAAGGATAGGAAGGATTAAATAGAACATTGTAAAGAAGTGACAGAATATGAGCATTCCGGCGAAGACGAATAGGAAGCCACTTGAGCTTATTACGAAAACAAGAAACATGATCATACTTGCGCAAACCAAATATGAATCTTATACAAAAATTTTGAAGACGCTCAAGTTTATCAAGTTGCTTTTCGGTGAGATCAAGATAGCTGACATCTGCATAGTCCAGAATCGGGAGAAGCAGAGATTGTGCAAGCGCAATTTTAGTGGCAGTAGGCAGAAAGTTCCTTAATCTGTTCAATGATCGAGCAGCTGCAAAGAGTTTACGACTAACTTCCTGTATTTGAGGACCCCATGATAGGTTACTGTCAATATAAATTCCCAAGTCTTTGACTTTTTCACTAAGAGGAATAAAATTTCCATCAAAAACAACTTGAGGTGCTTGAGAAAGGTTTGATTTCCCAATCATATTCGAACTTCCGATTACAATTACCTGAGTCTTTAGAGGGTTAATCTTTAAGCCATATGTTTTTGCCCAATCTGATATTTGCTCAAGGTCACTATTTATAGTAGTAATAGCTACATGTAGTTCACTAGGAGAAACATGAGTATATATTTGAAGATCATCTGCGTATAGGTGGTAGGAAGAAGTAATCTTAGTAGCTATAGAATTAATAAAAATTGAAAAAAGTAAGGGAGATAATACGCCACCCTGCGGGACACCAGCAATGGTATCACACCAAGAAGAAAATGTGTCATCAATGCGAATACATTGCCGGCGCCCAGACAGGTAACTTTGAAACCAACCAATCACTGTTGGAGATATGTTAAGAGAACCAAGTATACCCAGTAAAATTTCAAAATCAATTGAATTAAAGGCATTGCTAAAATCTAACAGAGAAAGGATAGTTAATTTGCCATATTCCATGGCAGATCTTATATCTTCCGTAATATTGACTAAGGCTGTGACAGTACTATGCCCAGGACGAAAACCAGATTGTAGAGGATTTAGAAGGGAATTATTGCGAAGGAAGGCACTGAGCTGATTATATACTAGGCGTTCGAGAACTTTGGATAGGAATGGCAATATAGATATAGGACGATATTCCGAAAAAGATGTAGGGTTGGGCTTTTTAGGCAACGGTATGATGTGAGCGTCTTTCCAAGTTGATGGAAAAACACCACAAGAAATGGAGGAGTTGAGGATATGGCAAAGTATTGGGATGATTATGTCAAGAACCGGAAGGATCATATTACGGCTGATACAGTCGCTGCCAATTGCATTTGAAGTAATGGATAGAATACTCTTCTTAACATCACAAGCAGAGAATTGATTTAGAACAAAAGATGAATGATCAGGAGTTGGAAGCGATGAAAGAAAATTTAATGTGTTCAATTTTGTAGCTCCATTTAAGTTGGAGGAGGATGAGAAGTGATGATTTAGTAAATCAATATTTAAGTCTTTAGAAAGTACAATATTACGGGACTTTCCAACCCCCATTGATCTAAGAAAACTCCAGACTTTAGCTGAATCACCAATTTGTACCGATTTATGGATATAGTGGCGTTGAGCATCCCTACACACCCTATTGCAGTGATTTCGAATACTAACATATTTTCCCCAGTTTATAGATGTAGGCTTACATTTATATTTTGTCTTGGCTGCAGCTTTTTTATTTAAAATGGTTTTTATTTCATCAGTCAGCCATGGTGAAGGAAGATGTCTCATTTTAATTACGCGAACTGGTGCATGTTTATCATAAAGACAGGTTAATTTAGTCGTAAATATTGCAACTTTATCGTCGATAGAATCTGCACTTAAAACGGCTGACCAATCAATGTTGGAAGCATCTTTGCAGAGATTTTCAACATTCATACTACGGAAACTGCGTTGCAAAAGGAATTTAGACTTAAGTTTAGGTGGCCGGACATTATAAGAGAGAAATATAAGATCATGGTAAGAGAAGGCATCGGCTGGACACTGACCGTGCTTAACAGCGAAGTCAGAAGAGGACACAAAAATAAGGTCAAGCAATGACGGAGTAGCATTAGGGAAGTGATGAGTAGAATTTAAAGGTAAAATAGAGAGATTAGTGGAATTTACGATGGATCGAAGAGAGGATGAACGAGAGTCTTGTTTAAGCAGACAAGTATTAAAGTCGCCCATAATGATCGTGTGCGAGTAGGAAGATACATTTTCTAAAATATTTTCGAAGGAAGTGAAGAAGTCGATACGAGATGAAGGACAGTAATATACACCCAGAAGAATTTTAGTATGACTAAGCTCCACCTCAATAAAAAGATGTTCACCTGCATTAGGCGGAGATGGTTGAGATGACATATCAACAACAGAAAAGGGAATATACGCTCGGAGATATATTGCCACACCACCACCACCGCCCACAGTACGATCATTTCTTATGAGATGAAAGCCAGGTAAAGAATAATTAGTGGAAGGGAGACAAGGTTTAAGCCATGACTCAGAAACGAGAATAGCATGAATATCCTTAGAGTCAAAGGTAGCCAGCATATCTGAAAAGTGAGCCGGAATGCTTTGGGCATTTATGTGAACAACGTTGAAATTTTTGGGAACATCAGAAAATTGTGAAGCTAGTATTTCAGAGAGAGGCTGTAAGCTAGGGACACTGTCACCATCACTATCTGTGGTTAAATATGTTTCAGTATCACTGCTAATGTCTAAATAAGACATTACAAAATAAAAATTTATATCTATATAAAATAAAATAAAATATAACGTATAATAAATACAATACTATAAAAAAAAAGTTAATAAATTTTCTTAAACTAAAAACAAATAAATAAAAAATTCTTTAGTGTCCACCTGCCAGTTGAGTGTTACGATAAATTATCTGTACAACACTTAAACAATAAATGGAAATAAAAAATTAGTTTAATAATGAACTTCTTATTAAAGTAGGATTAAGTGAAAGAAAAAAAAAACAATAAGGGTGCATAAAATAAACACCGTTAAGGGAAACGCAACGGTCAGTGCGTTATTTAGCATTATTGTTATAGTGCAACATAACCTCGAAATTGTGATTTTTGTGTTAACGTTAACTGTAGTATTCAGAACAAAAACTAATGACATCTATGCATTTTACAATATTTCACATTGTCAATTTTTAAGTATACCAAAACGTATAATAAATGGAAAGAGGGGTTCATAATTATTATGCTTATTTTATGTACATTCAATGGTAAAAAAAAAAAAATTGCACTAAAGTTAAAGTTACAAGTTAA